CTTTCTCACCATTCGGGGGGTAAACCACAGCACACTGCTCTGAGCCAGACTTGTCTGCGAAATAGAAATTTCATAGACTGAAAGGAAGCTACGGAAGATATTATATCAACAAAGATAAACATTCAAACACATTACTTTGGATGCAAGATTTAGGTGGTGTAGCGCTGTTGTAGCTGAAATGCTCTAGGACTGCAGTGTCTCGAGAAAAACACAGCAAGACCTGTGGAGAAAAACAATGGACACATAGAGTGATGCAGGGATGATGTATTTTTGTAGGCCAAACCCCGTAAATGAGTTAGCATTTTAACAATTCCGGTTCAGTTGTCCTGAAGTCAATGGGTTTTTTTAATCGCTGTGGTTATCACAAGCTCAAGATATTTTCATGTTTTATTCTATGACATAAAATACATCAATAAAAGCTTTGGTAACACTTTATAATAACTGCAAGCTATGGATCATTAGTTCCAATTAGTAAACAAACATTAGTAAACAATTAATTCATCATTTATAAAGCATTATCCCTACATTAATAGACATTAGTAAGCAGTTTATAAATACAGCTATAAATGCTTTATTCTTCATTTATAAGCATGTGTATAATATGCTTAATAATTGTATTTTCATACTTTATTAATGATCAATTTATAATTTCTAAATTAAGCATTACATTATTTACAAACCAGTTAGTAAGGAGTTGTCAGTGGTTCACGAGATCATTTAGAAAGTGTAAGTGATTAATAAACTATTTGAATGTACATTTATACATCTTATTCAGGCATATAGTAACAATTACTCAGTGCGTTAATAAATGCTTTATTAACACATATTCCTACTGTAATTCATGATTAATTCAGGTAGTTATAAAACATTTAGTAGTTGTCAGTTAACCATTTTGTGAGCTCATCTAAAATGAGGACTATTTATGCCCCGTTAAGCTTTTACAAAGGAGACATAAAAGGCTCAGTTATATTCTGAACAGAAAAAGGAAACAAACACAACACAGTGATACAGAACATAGAAATATTTATTTCAAGCTCCAACTGTCAGGGTTCTGGACTGGCTGTGTGTGTTTTGCTCCCCGTGACCCAGTTTCTGCTCGTGTTAATTGTGTTAATTTGATTCCAGGTGTGTCTCCTTAGTCCCCTCGATTAGTTCCTCATTATCCTGTGTACTTAGCCCCAGTCTGTGTTGGTCGGTTCTACCAGTGATGTACGTGTGTCTACCTCCTGTTCTCTGTGTTGGATTTACCCTCTGTGTTGGATACTATTAAAGACTCTTTTGATTATCCACGGCTCCGTGTTCCTTCCGGCAGCGTAACGTGACAGAAGAACCGACCAAATACAGTTACCTCCGTGTGTTCCCTCCGTTTTGTTTCCCATTTTCATCCAGTGTTTTTTTTCTGTTGTGTACCCTCATGGATGCCCTCCTTCGCCCGGAATATCTCCTCCTCCTGCTGCTGGAGCAGGGGGAGAGATCGTTTGAGGACCATACGAGACTGTTCCGGCTCTTAGCATACACCACCAGCTACCCGGATGACGCGCTCTGTGCATTTTACGACGCCAGTTTAAACATCGTGTGCAGAGCGCCGTCATCCGAGGATGGTCCTCGAGCGGATTTCACCACCTTTGTGGAGTGGATAGTACCAGTACCACTCCCAAACCAGAGCCCAGCCCACCATCTCCCCGCGATGCGGAGCATCAGCCCGAGCCCACCGTTGACGGAGAGCCATTTCCCGCCACGATCAACGAGCCAGCGCAAAGCCGAGCGACTGAGCAGAGGATCGCCCCAGACGTAGAGCTTAACCCGTCAGACCAGGTGCAAGACCCGGCGACAGTGCCCACCGCGAGGGAGCAAGCCGTGGATGGTGAGAGCGTGAAGTGGAGCTCCGCCCACTGCACCGCGGCTGAGGGTGAGCTGATAGTGCATCTGGAACTGCTGGATTTCGAGAGGGACCTTATTGACTGGGAAACTAAGCTGGAAGCCGATTTGCCCCCTCTCCTCTCTCCTTCGTCCCTGCTGGTTCCGTCCTGCCCTCTGTCGTCTCCTGTCCCCACGTCCAGTCCAGAGTGGGCTCCCATTTCCCAGTCCAGTCATGAGAGAGACTCAGTCCCCAAGTCCAGCCAGGAGTGGGCTTTGAGCCCGGAGGGCAGCCCTGAGAGCCCGGAGGCTCATGAATGCCCACCCACCTGCCCGCTCCTGCCTCCTTCACCGCTGTCATCTGGCAGCCCCTCTGCTCGCCCTCAGCCCACCATCAATACGGTGCGAGCTCCACGGGACTGCCATCTTCCAGCGTCGCCGTGGTCGGAGTATCCCTCACCTCCGCCTCCAACCTTCGAGGCTCGGACTCCGCCTCGGGTCATGGACCCAGCGGCTCCACCTCGTCTCCTAGCTCCCTCGCCTCCACCGTCACCCGTCGATCCACCAGCTCCACCGGGCTCCCTCGTCCCTCCGGCTCTGCCT